GCCCCAAGTTATTCTGACTTCTCATTATTAAAGGATTGTCGTGGATGGGTTAAGTCCACATTAAGTTATTTTCTATGCCTTGAGACCAAGGACTTTTGGTTTCATTATCTTGTATGCTTAAAGGGTGGAAGTCCAGATCTGATTAAGTCATCAGTTTAATTCCTGTTTAGTCATTTTATAACAGTAAAACTGCTAAGTGAACCAGATTTGAGAACCAATAGAACTTTGAATCATCAAATGACTGGAAATGACTTGAATACATACTGGAGAGTACATTGTACTATCAGATCTACTATTTGAAAGACAAGACAAAGAGAGTCGGGCAAGATTTTACCTTGTCGGGCAAGGTTAAATGTCTTGCAGCTTCTTCTCTTTGTGGTTTACAGGGGGTTGTATATAACAAAAAGGATGGAAAGTAAGCAAGTTTACCCAAGGGAATGAATAATACAACATCTAGAGAGGGTAGCAAAGCTTTTACACTGGACAAAAGATATCTTTCTAAGGGAACTATTGCTAAAAAAGGGTTGGAAGGTACAAACTGGCTTGAGAGCAGAGTTTGTATGCTTGTTTGTTTGATTAGTTGAGTGTCCTTGAGTCTGGGGCCTCTCCCTCCTTTTATAGACATTTTATCTTAGCTGTTGTAAGCTTTGCCTGAAAGCACTTTAGGGAGTCATCATCTTTTTTTACATGTTCCGCCATTAGAAAGTGCTTTTGGGCTAATGGTAGATTGATTTTCATCAATTGTCACTTCTCTTGTAAGCACATAACCTACCTATAATTTAAGTTGGGGTAAACAACGCTCGGATTTGTGAACTCCTTCCTCCGTTCTATGGTTTGGGCATTCTTGAATTTCTCCCTCTGTTCCATCGTCGGGCGTCTGAACTCTAGGTATTTCTTCCATCATCTGGGCATTGTTGAATTTTTTCTTCCGTTCCATTGTGATGTGTTTTAGTGCTTGTTCTCTTCTCCAATTAGGGTTTAGGGTGGGCACCTACCCAAGATTAAGAGTTGTTTTTCTTCTTTACTGTTTTCCAATTGAGATTGAATTTGGAATAATTATTTGCTTCTCGTCTTTACTGGCATGCAATTAATCAGTTGACATGAATTGGAATTTTTATTTGCTTCTCTTCTTTACTGGCATGCAATTAATCAGTTTTAAGTTAGGAATTGGGTGTGCAAGTTATGAATTGGATTATCGAAACTAAGAGGATTTTGTTGATTTGCATTTAAGCAAATTGGCGTTTATTGTTTTTTCTTTTAAACTCTTCCAGCTTAAGAAGATTGGATTTTGTTGATAGTCTTGTGGATCGTCGGTGGGACATGAACAAATTCACTTGTTTTTCCCCCAAGACTTATACAGTGTTAATATATACAACATTATGCACATATACTAGATTGGCTTATCTTTGATTTATAAAATCAGCACATAAGCTAATTATACGAAGAGTTTTTTCCCTGTAAATAATTGATTCCAACAAAACCACATGCCTTAAAATTTTATTCTGACGAAGAAAAAATTTTGTCGGAAAAAATATGATTACTTCCAACAACAACTAATCACCCTTGAAAATATAAAAGTATTACCGAGATGACTTTTTTTCCCTAAAAAATATAAAAACATTACCAAGAGGACTTTTTTTTTTTCCCCTCAAAAATACTAAATCAATTTCGTCAACATGAGTAAACCTTCGGAAATAACCATTATATTTCCGATAAGAACTTTACTTGTCATTAATACAACTGGTACCAATTCTTCTCGCCAAACAAAAATGCATTTCCGATGAAACTTGAGACTTTTTGCGAGGACATTATGTGCGTTGGTAATAAAAACTTGTTTCATGCCATATTACCGACGACCCGTATTTTATGGTCGGAAAATGTGCTTTTTACAACGGTTTTTTGGGGCCCTCAAAAACTCTTCGTTGGTAATAACTACTTTTTTTTTTGTAGTGTGAGATTATTTTAACTGTCTATTATGTTCTCAATAGGGTTCCCTTTTCAAAAACTAAAATTGCACCGTATGGAATTTGGAAAAATAGGAAGCTTAATGTGTCCTACTTAAGAACATGGGGCTGCTTGGCTTACGTACGAAAACCTGACTCAAAAAGGTCAAAATTAGAGAGTAGAGCTTTTGAGTGTGTTTTTATTGGTTATGCATTCTATAGTAAAGCATATAGATTTTATGATCTAAGGAACCATGTTGTTATTGAATCTAATGATGTTGATTCTTTGAGAACAAGTTTCCTTTTATGTCAAGGGGGAATAGTGGGGGTTTAGCCTCAACTAAGTTAAGGAAGGATGGAACGAGCAGCCATCCTCTAAATGATTTGGTCGAAACTAGTTTCGAACCAAGAAAGAGTAAGAGAACAAAAGTGACCAAGGATTTTGGGGGTGACTTCCAAACTTATGCACTGGAAGAATATCCTACAACACTCCAAGAGGCATTGACGTCTTTGGATGCAGATTCATGGCAAGAAGCCATAAATGATGATATGGTTCACTTGGTTGAGCAACCTCCAAGATGCAAAACCATTGCCTGCAAATGGGTACTGAGGAACAAGCTCAAATCCGATGGTACAATTGACAAGTTTAAAGCCAGGTTAGTAGCTAAAGGTTTTAGGCAAAGAGAGAATGTCGATTTCTTTGACACTTTCTCACCAATCTCTAGAATTACATCCATTTGAGTCTTGTTTGCATTAGCTTCTTTACATAATCTTGTTGTGCATCAAATGGACGTTAAAACTGCTTTTTTTAAATGGAGAATTAGAGGAAGAAATTTACATGGATCAACCTGATGGTTTTGTAATACTTGGGCAAGAGCATAAAGTTTGCAAATTAAATAAGTCACTTTATGGATTAAAACAAGCACCTAAACAATGGCATGCTAAATTTGATTGTTTACTTCTTGATAATGGCTTCAAAATTAATGAAAGTGATAAGTGCATGTATATTAAAACTGAGAGTAATCTATGTGTTGTAATATGTTTATATGTTGATGACATGCTTATCTTTGGCTCTAATATTCACTTAGTAAATGAAGTTAAAACCATGTTATGCAATAACTTTGATATGAAGGATTTAGGAGAGGCAAATTTAATTCTTGGAATAAAGGTTAACAAAACTGAGAAGGGGTTTTCTCTAAGTCAGTCACATTATTTAGAGAAAATTCTAAAGAAGTTCAATTATTTTGATTGTAAGCTTGCTTGTACACCGTTTGATCCTAGTGTGAAGTTGTTCAAGAACACTGGTGACAGTGTTAGACAAACTGAGTATGCGAGCATCATTGGTAGCCTTCGATATGCTACTGATTGCACTAGGCCAGACAAAGCCTATGCAGTTAGGGTTCTGTGTAGGTACACGAGCAGTCCCAATACGGAGCATTGGCATGCAGTTGAAAGGGTAATGAGATATCTTAAGAGGACCATCAACTTTAGCCTATGTTATGAAAAGTTTCCCGCTGTTCTTGAAGGATACAGCAATGCTGATTGGAATAAACTATCAGAAGATTCTAAAGCCATGAGTGGCTATATTTTGGCTGCAGTCTCGTGGAAGTCTAAGAAACAGATCATACTTGATCAATTAACAATGGAATCTGAAATGATTGCCCTAGCTACAGCTAAGGAAGAAGCAGGATAATTGAGAGATCTTTTGTCTGACATTCCGTTGTGGGAGAAACCAGTTATGGTGTGCTTATTATAGCACAACGGCCATTGCAAAAGTGGAAAATCGATATTATAAGGAAAGAGACGACAGATTCGTCGAAAACATAGCACGATAAGAGGGTTTCCTTCCACAAGGAATGTTAGAATAGATCATGTAAGGTCTGAACATAATCTAGTTGACCCTTTGACGAAATGGTTAGCACAAGAAAAAGTTTGGAAAACCTCTAGTGGAATGGGGTTAAAGCCCTTTATAAGTTGAGTCACTTGTGATGGTAACCTAACCTTTGGACTAGAGATCCCAAGAAATTGGTTCAATAGATAATAACAAGTCATGAAGTGATATGGACTCATGCCATACTTCTTGTAGAAGTTGTTTGTAGAGGCATGAAATCATGTAGCACATGTAAAGGATGAGTTATGAAACTTTTAATGAAAACTATACTCTAGTTGGGTAGGATATCTAGCTATAGGAGTATCCTTGATTGTTTCACCATTGTGAAAGTGAAGCTGAGGCCGCCTACTATAAAGTTCCTAGGGCTAACTTCTAGCACTATCACTAAACTGTGATACAAGTACATTGCCGAATTGTGCTGGCTTTGAGCTTCACCCAAGAGGAGTCGTGTGTGCTTTGTTTTCAGAGATTGGGTTCAAAACCAAGTGCTACTCTTGTTATTCTAAAACAATGTCACTATGTTATGGTTCAAATTAAATAACACCAACATTATACACGACTCTATGACAGTTCGTATTTTTATTTTTTATTTTTTTTGACAGTTTACTCAATGTTCCAAGTTTAAATAACCAAGTGGAGGATTGTTGGGGTTATATGTTTATTTAAAATCTAGATTAGTCAGATAGGTTAACGTTAGACTCCTAATTTTGGGGAGAATCTTTTTTCTTCAATAGAGTTTTGCTTTGTTCAGAAGACCTATTCTTTCTCAACTAACTGATATTGCTTCTTGATTTAGTAGCGGGATTTTGTGAGCATTTTCTCCTCAACTATCCCAACGTTAATATCCCTCTAAGTAGGGTATAAATACGAGGGTTTTAGTCTGGTGGAAATACACTTGAAAAAACTGAGAAATACTATGAGAGCATTGAGTAGTTAAGTGGGTGAAAGCTTTGGATATTCTCAGTGCAAAGGAAGGTCTATTCACGAGTGATTTTGGGCTGTTTTATCTTGGGGACGGCGTGGCACTTGTGACTGCTTGCACACCTTGGGTAGAGCTGCATAACATCTTAAAGAAGGCAACATTGTCTGCTACTCAACCCAAGATAATTGTGTTCTTTGGCTCTTCAATTTCCTGGTAAACTTGTTCCTAAAAAACTTGCAAGAACTTGAATCAAACAGTAATAATATAATTAAATAAATAAGAAAGCTTCGAAAATTCTCGTTGTAGCTTAAGAATTTGTAATATCCCAACTTCTTTGCATGTATGAAGGCAGAGGAGCAACCAACTCTAGGCTTTCTAGTTCAGAAAGATCACAATCTGAATGCAGCTTCACGTTTTGCAAAGCCAGATACACATTAGGCAAAACCATTTGCTTACAATGAAGATGCAAGCGGGGTGTCTTTTCGGAGATACTTCCACTGTCCATATTCAGATCAAAGGGGAGGTTTCTTCTTGAGCGAAGCTCCTCATTCCAATGAGATTCAGTATTAGACGAAGATAAAGGTTTCCAGTTCCTATGAGTTTGCCACCCGTATTTGTAGTCTCCAACTATCGGTGTTCTCAAAACCTCTGCACAGTGTACACGCAGCTGTAGTTCAACGCACACAGTTAGAGGAGTTGTGAACAGTGACAAGCGGCTTGTTTAACTAAGGAATAATGCAAACAGAAATCATGACTAGTGCTTAGTTCTGATCGATACCTGATGCTTTCGGCCGGTAAGAGGGGTTAGCTCTAGCCATGTGAAACCTGCACAGTTAACAGTGGAATATCAGAAGCATATAATGACTGGGAAAATTATTCTTTAAAGAATATGTACCAAGAACTTTGTGCCAAACTATCTTCAGTAATGATCGTTGAAAACAAAACTGCAGCACGCATCACACGACCAAACTTTCCCTAGACAGTCCTTTAAATTGTACTTTGACACAATACTTATGTGCAATGGAAAAAAGAGTGTTTGTTACTTACCAGGACATGATGATCCAATCACTTTGTACTTTGTAATGGCATGCTGAGATGACAAAGTTTGTGAATCGTTTGCAGCCGTGATTCTCTCCGATTTACCATTGTCCACCACCACCTGATGCAATCAAAGCCCCAAATTATTATAAGTTCAGATAACTTGTAAAGTTTATGCACTGATATGTTCAATGTATCCCTGAGTTACTGCAACCAGGAACCACTTAACCACATAACAATTAAATTGGTAACTAAATTATAGCTGAATTTTATTATTTTGTGAAGGGTAATCTCTAGGTGCGCATGGATGGGGTGTGAGGATGAGTGCATTCAAGAATATTCTAACCTTTACCAGAGGTGCTGAGATTAATCCTTTACGTTGCCTGGGAGATCCAATGACAAGTGCCCAATACCTTCTTTGCAGAATTCTTTTTGCATCGTCAGTTACCTTTAAATAAGTACGAGCATCAGGTAAATTGACACGGAACAAAACTAACAGCCTCGCAACATGACATGAGCATGCACGGGTCATTCCATAAACAAACACCAACAGAGAAAGGAATGACATCACTCACATCATTTGATGCTCCAACAGTTTTCTCACGGAAGATGGAATGCAGAACAGCCGCAATTGTTTGTGTCCTTCCCATCACCAGGAGACCACTACTATCTCGGTCAAGTCTATGTACCTAAGAAATACAAACTTCTTATCCAGAAAAAGGGAAGGAAAAAGACAAACAAACAACACACAGAGGTTGTTCAAGGAACGGGGATAACCATGCATAGGATTCAGATTGTTGTGGCGATAGACAAGACCATGCACGTACACATTTGTTGCAATGATTGAAATTCTAAAACAAGGATAATTCTAATCTACACATATTTATCAAACTGTTTATTCTTTTCATTTCTACAATGTATTGATAAAAATTTAAACTCAGAATATTACACAGAATATATCACATATTTATCAAGTATAGATTCATAATACCAGAACGTCTAAAACATTTGGTATCTTCTCTGTTAACAAATTCATGCATTCACTCAGGCTTATGAAGCAATATAGCTCGCAACTGGTTCCACCTCGTTTAACAGGAAATGCGTGAACACGCTGCTAGACTGCTAGTCAATGAGATGGCTCTAAATTGTGGCTTGATTCCATGCAATCAATCTCCCTCTCCTCCTTCCACTCCATACTCACCCTAGATTTTTCCTATTATATGAAAGGCTCCCATTCCAAAGTTTAGAAGTCTGACAATATTTTGCGTACCATACAGCTACACATGAATTTAACATAAAGATACTAAGATTGCCTACAAACTCACCAGCCGAGGGGGTTCTGACAAGTCATAACTCAAACAAGCGGTAGCCAGTTTATCTAGACTTCGTTTGATTCCAATCCCACCCTGTGCAAACATCATTTTAATATCGGTATGAAATAAACTACCTACAAACCTAAAGTACCAACAGTAACCTTGACTGAAGCATCAACAACTCACCTGAACAGGCATTCCAGGGGGTTTATTGATGACAATGATGGCTGGATCCTAATATCAGAATAACGAGTAAGTTGGATCATATATTGTAAAAAAATTAGCTGGCTGAAATTTACACAACAGGGACCAACGTTAAGAACCTTATACAACTCCAGGCTCCGGATAAAGTTGATTTCTTCTTCACTACAATGACATTCTTGTTTATAATTGGACGACTTGTGTTTGTCAGCAGGGAACTCTTGCACACTAAAAGGAAGATGTATTCGATCTCCTATGTTCATGGAATCTTTAGCCGCCACCTTCCCATAAATTAAAATCAGATAGAAACCTTTCCCATGTTAAATTACACAAAACAAAGCTCTATCAATTTAATTTCCCAAACGAAAACATACATAAAAACCCGAAACAGTATGAATGTAAGAGAAATATCAGTTACCCTTTTAAGTGGGCGCTCATGTGCTTCAACAGCTTGACCAGAACATGATTCTCTTCGAACCTGTAACAGCAATCAAGCAACAACTTTTCAATCAACCTTGAAATCCCATATGTAATTTGCAATCAAACTTCAAATTTCAAAATAATTCAATGTGGGTGCGAGTGTGGCGACCTGTCTAAGGCGAAAGAGCTTCTGAACGAGGCTTCTAGGAAGCTCCGGGCAGCACCGAGTAACCCATTTAAGCGCCGTCGTGGTGGTGGTGTCGGCGGCGGCAGAGGCAGTATTTGTGATTGTACCTCTGCCGCCGTTTGAACGATTGCGAGAGAGCTCTTTACCCACAGCGGCGCCGTTTACAGTGGCAGTGAACGAAGGTAAAGTGAACCATTTTTGACCGCCCTTTTCTTTCTCTTCGTCAATTGTTTCAGAGGTGGCGGCGTAAGATCGGCAGTTGTAGAAGGCTGAGAAGCATATTCTGGCGCTGCCGAACTCGGCGGAGGACGGTGGTGGACGGGAGAGGAGGAGTCGGCGGAGGAGTATGGGGCCCACCATGCTAGTGATTTTGGGGTTTTAGGAGGACTCCGGGTTTTTTCCATTCGCTCTTCTTGCTGCGCAAAATAGGTTTTCAGAAACCGGGAAATTAATGAGGGTCTCCGGCGCCAGTAAATTTATGTCTTATGGGCCCCGAATTAATAATAAGCCCAAATGGGACGGTTAATAAGGGCGGGCTAAGACATCGGCAACATGATTAGTTTGGGCCAATTAGGCAAGGCCCAAACCATGCAACGTGGAAAGGCCTTGTTTGCACCAAAATTGTTTCTCAGCTTCATCACTTTCTTAATTAAGAATGTAACGGCTAGTCTGTGCACTCAATCCAAATATGATAGATGTAAGGCTGAGCTCAATTCTGGTTTTGTAAGGCAAGTATCGCGGGAGGTGAGATGTCTTCTAGCCAAATGTTGATGATGTATTTTTTTAGGTTTTCATCTAGAAACAATTTGTTTTCTTCTAAGATCATCTCTAATGGTTGGGCTAAAAGCCAAATATTTTAGCCCAGAAAATTTAACTTTTAGCCCATAAACAGTTTTTCTGTTCCAACCGTTCTGGCCTAAAATTTTAGCGCGTGATTATTAAAGAATGCACTTAGACTATTTTTTTCTTAAATTAAATTTTTTAAAAATAAATAAATATGAACACTATCATAAATTAATTTTATGAACATTTTAATCTAAAAAAATTTAAATTCCGATAAATATTGAAAAATCACTAAATTGTAAGAGAAAATTGAGTTTTGTGTGGATGTTTGAACAAATACATAGGTATTTATAGAGTTTTTGGGTGAATTTTCAGTTAAATAATTTTTTTTAAATTATTTTAGCGGTTGGATTTAAATTTGAGCCGTTAGATCTTTTTCTGTATCGTTAGATTTGATTATATTCGATCTCAGCCATTGGATTCAATAATATATAAATATAAAAACAAAAAAAAAATTTTGAATCTAGGTCGTTGGATCAACCAACGGCCTGATGATCACGACCGTTGGATGGAAGGAGCCGTTGGGCTCATGCGGAACGTGGCCGATAGGCCCACGTGGGTGGGTCCCTCGCGGTCGGAAGCCTCGTGCGTTAGGCGTGTTGGATGATTCAATAGGCTGCGTTTGGCGCCCAAATGCTGAAATGCAATCCCTTCGGTGGGGCCCACACCGACTTTTAGGCTAAATTTTGGGCGGAATTTGGCCTCAGTTCCCCATTTAGCTTTTAGCCCAAAGTTTCCCCTTCGGTTGGATTGGGTTTGGGGAGAAATTTAGCATTTAGCCCACCATTGGAGATGGTCAAATAGTTTTAGGTTAACATTTTAGCCCAAAATTATTAAATAATGAATTTAGTCAAAAAAAAAAATTAGTAATCTTTTTTAAAATAAAATTTATGTAGATTATCATATTTTATTTTTATAAATATTTTAATATGAAAATATTTAGAATTCAATAAAAGTTGAAAATTCACTAAACCGATCCCATGAAACATGTACTTATAGAGTTTTTGGGTGAATTTTGATTTAAATAATTTTTTAATTGTTTTAGCCATTGGAGTTAATTTTGGGCATTATATCTTTTTTTTTGTTATATTTGATTATATTCGACCTCAGTCCTAGGATTTAATGTGTTTAAAATTTTTAAATTAAATAGGTTTGAATCTAGACTGTTGGATGGTTCAATAATTAAAACTGTCAGATCAAGCAATAGATGTTGAGCTCATTTATGTGGTCAACATTCTTGTTAAGGGTGGGCCTACTTCCTCTAAGACCTCCCGTGTCTCGCACGTTGGGCGTGTCGCCTTGTTGCACCCTCCATTTTTCTGGGCGCGTCTATGCACATAAGTGGGCCTTTTTTAACCATAGCTAGAATTTTGAGTTCAATTTGTCCAAATTTTAGGTTTTAACCCAAATCTTATTTTAGGCCCAATCATTGTAGAACGATTGGGTTAGTTTAAAACCTAGGTTTTAAGTTTTAACCCAAGAGTTGGAGATGGTATAAGAGTTGCAACATTTAGCTAACGGCAGATGATGTTTTATAATGGGAGTTGTGAGCTATTTCTAGGGAGATTTAAAAATCTATGAAACCCTAGAAATCGATTTTCAAGTGCAATGTCTAAATCGGGCATTAGTCATCTCAGAGCTCAAATATTAAATGGATAACTATGACTTTTGGAGAAGAGCAATTACATATTAATATTTTTAATGTTTACAAATGAAAGAAAAGTAATTGTTAGATAAACTTACATGGAGCTGCTCAATTGTGTCATCCCCGGGTCGAACATAAACTTCCTTGAACATGTCGATATCTGGAATCTTAGAATCCTCCTGAAAATAAAATGTTAAAGAAATAATCAAATAATCCAAATAAAAATCAATATAATTACAATTGAGAAATAATATACTTTTACCTTTCGTCACTTCTCTATCATAAGGAGACGGGCTTCGAACCATGTGGTGGAGGAGTTTTCTTTTCAGCGTATTTGTGGAACCATGATTTTCCAGCCAGAGGTAATGCTGATTTGAATACAGTTATCTCAGAAGTCTGGTCATGTAGTCACCAGCTCCGAGTGGAGCTATATTAGACTAAGTAGTGGTGCCACCATCATTGTACTCCGGGGCACTAGGCGGAGTCTTAATGACTCTGCTGGATGACCATGCTTTTTCTGCAAGACACAGGATCTGATCCGGATATGGATAAAATCAAATCCTATAAGTCTTGGGGTTTCTTCAACCTAAGGAATGGAATGCGCGGCAAGTAATCACAACTCCTAAGAGGATGAAATATCTACTTCTAGATATGCTCTAGGATTCTTCCAGCTTAGAACGAGAATTTTATCCTAAAAATGTCTATCTCTCCACGGTATAAATATACCCCCTACGGTTCATCTATGGTAACCCAATCTAAACACTTGAATTCTCTTACCTACTGCTTGAGTCCAAATTCATTTAGTAACTTAACCATTGGAGAGCCTTTGGCCGACACCCCCCCCCCCCCCCGAGTCCTAGGCTTGCTTTTGTTTCACTATTTTGCAGGTTGCTTTTATTTACTTAGATTTATGCTCGACTACCGTTCACGGTGGTGAGCAAATTTGGTTTTAACAATTAGTGCTTTCATTGCGAGAGAACTTATATTCCTCTCGTCCAGATCACTCTGCCAACCAACATGTCAGAAAACTCGATTAATCATATCGGCTTCGCACCCTATCAGAGCAGTACCCGTTAGAAAACTGAGTTAATCATATCGTCGTCAAGATCCAAATCTCCAACACTTTGGTAAGCCACGCCTTGGTCGGCAATGGCTCCAGAGTCCACGTCATGTTCAAAGACATCGCCGAAAAGATGGTAATTCTCAACAACATCAATAAAGGGAAGACAACTCTTCACCCTTTCAATGGGTAACCGATATGATCCCAGGGAATGATGAAGGTAGCAGTCCAAGTAAAACTCTATAATCACTTCATGACTTTTCACGTGATGGATTGCCCGACTCCTTATAACGTTGTGCTGGTGTAGAAAAAAAGATGAGAAGTGGAGAGTATGTGCGGATTTTACAAATCTAAATAAGGCTTGTCCAAAAGACCTATATGCACTCTCATAGATTGACCTATTGGTAGATTCAAATGAGGGCACGAACTATTGAGCTTTATGGAAGCTTACTTTGGATACAACCAGATAAGAAAAGGAAACAACCTCCTTTGTCCTGGTCCGAGGAACATACTGCTACAAAGTTATACCTTTCGGACTAAAAAACGCAGGGGCAACATACCATCAACTTATCAATCAAATCTTCAAGGAAAAAATCGGTGACACAATGGAGGTCTACGTGGATGACATGGTTGTTAAGAGCAAAGAAAAGAAGGTTCATATAACACACCTTCAAGAGTCATTTGATTTACTCCGGAAATACAACATGAAGCTAAATCCAAATAAATCTACATTCGGAGTAACGTCAGGCGACATCTTGGGTTATATGGTTACCAAGCGAGGAATTGAAGCTAACCTGGATCAGATCAAGGCCATCATAGAAATGAGATCGCCCAAAACTATGAAAGAAATATAAAGTTTGACAGGACGAGCAACTTTTCTCAACAGATTTCTCTCACGATCTACTGACAAATGTAAACCGTTCGTCACGGCAATAAAGAAGAGAAATGGTCTACTCTAGACGGATGAATGCGAAGAAACCTTCACTAAACTCAAGGAGTACCTTTTCAAACCCCTACTGTTATCCAAGTTGATCGACAGAGATAACCTGTACTTGTTGGAAATTTTGAGTAGAATTTTCTTTGTCTCACATTAGTCATTCCCAATAGGTTTCCTCACTTTATAAGGCTTTGTCCCTTATAGAAAGTGATTGGAGTGATAGGCCTTTGAGACTAAAATTAGGCTCACCCTTGGGGTTGGGCTTTAGGATGTACTAATTAATTGGTAATTAATATATAATTAACTATCAAGATGGGCCTTGGGCCTTGGGGCTCTTAGGCTCGGGCTCTAATAATTAAATTAATTAATTATTTTTGAATTTAATTAATTATTTTTAATTAATTTCGAATTTAATTAATTAATTGTTTTTTACTAATAGACTCATCTTTTCAGATGAAGTCTGAAATGTGAAAGAACGCAGAAAGAAAACACCCATTTGAGAAGATGTCTCCCAACAGATGCATCCTTTCCTCATACTTGTTGTGAACATGCATAATCATATTATATATACATCCATCTGCATGGCATTTAGAACACGGAAAAAACAATTCTTCTTCTATAATCCAAAACATCCTCACTGAGAGAACCACATAGAAATTCGCCAGAAGTCAAGTTTTCCGATGCTGGAATTCTGACTTGATCGTTGAATCCTGGTGAAGTAGACGTCCGTAGAAATACAAGCACTAAGTAAGGACGAAATTTCTATTTCAAGGGCATTGCAATACACAAGCCTCGATCTTCAATATTTATGTTCAATATTATTTCGTTGTTCATACTCTGTTAATTTCCTATTCACATTTATTATTTATTAGTATATATAATTTTATCATAGATTGTTGACATATATCCAACAATACTTGTACTTGGCTGTATCCGACTTAGTGGTAAGCGCATCTCTGATTCAAG